GCTTTTCTTCTTTTGTCTCTCCTCTATCCACTCACCCCAACCGGTCGAGGCAGAAGGCCGCCCACCAAGAGCCGGGGTCTGTCGGAGGTTTCTTCCGTTAAAGGGAGTTTTTCCTCCCCACTGTCACCAAGTGCTTGCTCAAGGGGGATTTGTTGGGTTTTCCCTATGTAATAATATTGATAACAGTAAGGTCTAGACCTTACTTTGTGAAGTGTCCTGAGATGACTTTTGTTGTGATTTGGCGCTATACAAATAAAATTTGATTTGATTTGATTTGATATGTTCTACACGTGACACTTAACAACTGAAAAATTAAGTTTTGGTAATCTTTTGATGGAAAAACTAGACATTGGTGGAAGAAGCACTCAGGTCTTTTACTTATGTAAAAGTAGAAATACCACAGTGAAACAATACTTTGTTACAAGTCCTACATGCACATTTCACATTAATGTATATAATATTATTGGATTTTAATTATTGATGTATTATTGTGTTCATCACTTTAAATTGGAAAATGGTAAATGTGGAAGCAATATACAGTATACTTACTATACTACTTAAATAAATATACTCAGTATTTGAAATACTTTACATAATGCTAGGTAAGACGCAAACCCTTCACTGAGACTAAAAACAACATGAACTTTAGAGCTGCTACTGTAGAAAGGTTGTCCTGCTTGACAGCCAGGCTACTTCCCCAAGTTTTTGTGCTTAAAAAAAGCTAGGTGCACACATACTATATAAACATGAGTAGTATCAGTTTTCTCATCTAATTCTGTCAGGAAGCAAATAAGCATATTTTCAGCAACATCACCCTGTTCCTATAGCTTCTAATCAATGAATAGTCGTTTGTACAGTAGCTACACTTTACAACAGCAGCTTCTCCAATACTGAACTGGAATAGCAAAACATCATAAAGCATAAATTCAGCTTATAGCTGAGGCATATATCTGTCATTTCTGTATTTATATATTTATTGCCAATTTAACAGTCAGCTCTACTATATACAGTACATGACTGACTTTGTTTCATTAGTGAAAGCTCAAACTAATCAAATATGGTTATCATTAGGGTAAGGAGATATCTCTATATAGATAAAATCTTCTGTAATGGTATGCCATACATTCAACTTACTTTTTTATATCATAGTATCAATATAACATGAAGATATAGTATATTTTCTGAAATGCATTTGATAAACAGTTTATAAATAGACTGGGAATCGGGGTTGTAGTTTTAAAATACATTTATGCAAACATCCTATAAATCCAGTAATGCCACAAAACACTTTTGCTCAGTGGCTCACTCCCTCATTGCCTACCATGACCTAATATTACCAAGAAGTATTTTAAAACACATAGTAAATTAGATATTAAAGGCTTATGTTAGTACAAATGGCTTAATCCCTTACATTTCTCTTGAGAAGAGTATATTAATATTGCAACACTCAAAAAAAACAAAAAAAAAAAGATGACTGTTCTACTGAATGATCTTTAAATAGCCGGCAAAATGGGAGTAAAATTTTTTCAAAGGAAGAGCGAGCACACACACACACACACACACACACACACACACAAAGATGAAAGAAAAGCAAGTGGCATCACCTACTTGTGTGATTAATTGTTCTTCTGGTTCCAATCCCTGGACAGACTAAAGAAATCTAGTGGGAGAACAGTTTTCTCTCTCAACAACTACCACTCATGTGTCCTTGAATACTTATTATGCCAGTAAAACAGTTCAGGGACTGACAGTATAACAGTGCAAACTAGTCCTGAGCTGGTGTAAATAATATGTTCTACATACATGAAGCTGTTTGCATGTAAAACAGGACAGGGCTGAAAAATTATTATCCAGCAAACATTTTCCCAGATAAATAAACGGTAAAAAAAAAAAAAAAGCTTTCCTAGCTTCACAATACCCATCTGCACCAACAGCCTGGTGATGGATGTCCACATGTAAATGAGCTCAGGCAGCATGGGAAGTATAGCATTATGTGTGAGAAGGGCAATCTGTTCACTGTAGCACTGAGAACCAACTCGTAATCCAATCGAAATGAATGAGGCTCAGCAAGGAGACATCTCAAAGGAAACTGCCTCTCTGAACTTCCTTTTCAGTGTTGTGTAGTCAGTGTGAGTAGCTGACCTTTCCTGACTATCTCTCTCTCTGACGTTCGTTATACTGTACATGTCTCTCTGTGGTAAATACTTTAGCTCACTGCGGTTGTGCTGCAAAGAAGACAAGAAAGTTCTGCAGAGCCAGTGGTTTAAAATTAGGTAATTCAGAGTAAGTCTGGCTGAAGCGAGGCATTAGGAAACATGTCAGGACGAGATCTATAATATGCTAGAAAAACTGTAAGTTCAGCAAGTAGAAACAAATAGGCTTGAGAAAAGGAAAGTCCAACAAAAGTCAAAGGAGAGTCAAACAATTCTGATGTTGACAAAACCAAATAAATTTTATAAAGTAATCCAGGTAATGAATGTTCCCTTTGTAGTTCTGGAAAATCTTTTGGAGTCCAGCCTTTATTTTACAGGTCCATGGTGAACCTGTTGAATAAAAGAGGGGCTAAGGAGAAATGCACACTCACACAAAAAGCCAAAGTTTAGCTAAGTCTAAAAGTACATTCACAAAATATCTTAGTCAGCCTCTCCCATTTGAAACAAACTTGTGTGAACTAGTGTAATGGAAGAAGAATTTGTGACACATTTCAAGCAGAAAGAGCCGGATGCTGGATGGATCACATAACAGAGGCTGCATAATGGACCCATCAGCAACATTCACACATTATCACCCCATGTTCTGACTGGTGTCTGCCCTTCACGAGCACCAATCGATGGCTTGAGATGCTTTATGACCCAATGTGTGACGTGGGTCTGCCAGAGGGGCCAGACTGGGCTACACTGCTACATCACCAAGGATTTTCTGCAGATGCACTGAAGATTTACAGGACAGAAGACAGATAGTGATAAAGATCTGGACCTTATTACAAAGCAGCAGCACCTCCTCCAGCCAGGCGAGGTGATGAGCAAATTAGTTTGTTTTTTTGTGCCTGTGGAAATCAGTGAGAAACTCTTACAGTCCTTGTGTCTGGGCAAAGCTTAAGATTAGCTAAAAGTAGCA